CTTTTCTATCTTCTATCTTGTCTTCTGGTGGTTGCCCGCAAGTTGCATTCCTTATCTTGTAGATGTATCACTCCAGTCTTAGCCTGTGTTTATACATGGCCTTCTTCTCTGTGTGATCCATGTCTCTGTTTTAATTTTTCAAAAATACTAGTCACAGGATTAGGGGTCACCATAATCTGGTGTGACCTCACTTATACTTGATTGCATCTGCAAAGACCCTTTTCCAAAATAAGGTCACATTCACAGATTCTGGGGTAAGAAATCCAACATACCTCTTTTGGGGACCTAATTCAACCCATAATAGTAACTGTATTCAAGGGCTTCATCTCTAAGTAAGATGTCTCCATTACAATTTTAAATTGCTGTACTGTCTGGTTCATTAGAAACATTTTTTACAACTTTAATCTGGTATAAACATGTAGGAAATATGGTATTCTGATTAATGAACTCCTCTTAATGGGTAGAATTTTGGAATATACAAAATATGCCTAGAATAAAATAAAGGTATATAAATGTATATCTATCAGAGTCCGTAACTAGTAACAGCTGTTTATTAAATGTTCATTGAGTGAATGGATGGATGGATAAAGCAGTTTTAATATTAAGCTGCTTAATAGTTTCTTCCTTGATTATTCCACAGTTTCCTCAGGTAAAAGGTTGCAAAGTACTAGTTTAGAGATGATCACTTGCTTGAATTCTAATTGGCTGAGCATTTATTCTGCTTTACATATTTGAGTCCATTTTGAAACTCACTAGAAAGTATATTTTATGTCTTGAATTACAGTGTTTCTGGACCTCATTTCTGTTGACTTTCCCTTTGAGTAATTGCTTAATTAATCTCTTAGCTTAATTAAATTACTTTTGTGGATCAACTAACACCAATGGGTTTTGATTGATTTGGTTTCTCCATCTACAAAAATACCTATTTTATAATGTACAAGAAGTTTCTGTCCTTCAATCTATTTTTGAACGTCCATCTAGACATTCAATAAACGTATTTTGATTGTGGTGATATTATTTGAGTTAGGTTTCTTTACTAATGGCTCTTTGCATCTGTCCTTTAATTTGATACAGAATGAAGTAACCAACAAAATACAAAACAAATTATAATATAGCCCATGCCTTACAAATGAAAACTATTTCCTCATCCTTAAAACTACATATTTTCTCTACATGACTTCAGAAAGGTTTGAGAATGCTGTATACATGCAGTTAAAAGTTTCAGCAGGGAAAAAAAAATCTGAAGGTGAAACAAAGACAAATATGCAAAATTCAAATTGAAAAAGTTCCTAGCTACTATTTATCATGCTGCTAATATTTTCCATTTTATAGTTCTTTTCTTGAAAGACATTCAAGTATTTGCTAATCAAACTTGCCATTAAAGTCAAAAATGATCTTATTTTTTGTCTAAGAAGATGGGAAAGAAGCTATTGATCATGCAAGAACATTTTCCCTCTTTTAGCCACATTTCTATCCCTTGTTTTTTTTCTGTAAAAGATTTCCAGTTGTTTTTCAATCACCAGAAGCTTATATTTATAGAAAATCAGCAGGTTTCTCTGGTTACTAGCGGCAACTTGACAGAGAGTTTGGAGCTGTTTCCCTGAGCACAGTGAAAAGGGACTGTTTTAGTCAGTTATCTTCTGACACTGTTCACATTTAATTACATTAGTGGCACTTGACATTATAAAATGTTCTTTTCTTTCAAATGTAACCTTCCATCATCATTAGTAAATATCAAATGTAATGAAGTGTTTTTCAGGCTTATTTTCTTCCTCATATAATAGAAGAAAATGCTAATGAGTTTGTAATCCAGAAATTGTTTTCAATATCCAAAACTAATACGGAGTCAACTTGGTATGGGTTTATTAAATTAGTTTATTCTTTATGTTTTCTTTGCATTTGAGAAAAAATTTCCTCTTTGCATTTCTTATTACACTTTATCTACTTGGTAAAATTTTTCTCTTCCTCTGCTTTTAGATGACAAATAACCTACAACTAGATTGTGTTTCTGGGTTCAAATCAGAATGATGTTAGAGATCCAGCCCCTTACTGTGACTTAAAGCTACTGTATTTTTCCTTGAAAACTGTTTCTCTCTCTGTCCCTTTCCCCCCCACCTAACTCCTCCCTCCTCTCCCTCCACCTGTCTTTCTTTAAAAAAATTTCTCCATATAATGACTATCTAACCCTGTGGTTTCTACCACCTTCCTGCAACATTTCAATCACAATATGATGAAGCTTTGATTTCTGCTCTCAAAGATTAAATACACCCACAATGTGAAACTGATGCATTTTATAACAGGAAAACCAGTTTCTTTACTGTCACAATAAAGTTAGCATCTTATGAATAGGGGACGCCAGCACTGGAAAAGGTCAAGAAGAAAGAGAGAAAGCCACCGTTTTCCAACACATTATTCAGTGTCTGCGTTGAAAACATGCTTGACAGAAAGGGTCTGGGTCACCTTTTAGCAGTGTCTGCAGTGTTTGACTGTTTTACTCTGTAGAAAAATTAGGGGAAAGCTGTCTGTTGTACAGAGAAGACAGCAGGCATGAAGTCCCCAGCCTGTACAAATGCTACTCAATGCCAGAGGATATTTTACCAAGAGAAAATGGAAGCCATCTAAAGTTACTTCACAATAGTAGGGGTGGGAAGTAAGTTATATTTTATAGATAACATGTTCTAGAAAAAAATGAAACTGAGCCAAATGTGGGAAAGTTCTTAAACAAACTGAGTAGTTTTAAGGGGTTCTGCTCCCCAGAGAGCCAAAATATATTACAAAATGTCTTGTTAAACCTTGATTTAAAAAAAAAAAAAAGCAGCGTTTGGCAATTTGGCACTGGCTTTTTATCATGTTGTTGTCTTCATTTCACAGTTAAGTATACTGTTAACTGAATTAAATCCAATTCCTATCTAAAAATATCCACATAAACTCAATATCAGCTTCTTTCTGCCTCATGAATTTGTATATTTGTCCTAATGATGTGCACCTCATGATATCCCTAGCATCTGTATTTTCATAATATTTATAAAATTGTAAGCAAAGTATAAAAAAGTACAATAAAATATTCAAATAATTGTCATGTAACCCCTATTATGTTGGAATGTAATTAGGAAGCACTTTGTTTCTATTATAGAAACAAAATTTTTAGGATTCAATTCTTTTTACTAATTAGCCATTTATGTCTCCATAAATAAATTTTATAATCATAAATTTAATATTTTTATGAATGATTTGTATCATTAATCTTTACCTATTAAGGCTATTAGTCTTTGTTCTGTCTGGTATAAGACAAACATTTCTCAGTTTATCATTTGGTTTTCTATAATTTTGAATTTATTTATAACAACTTTTCTGTATTCAAGGAATTGTCAGTATTTTTCATGTGCTAAAATCAATACTTTCTTTCCTTTTTTGTTTTCTGCCACTGGCAGAAAGATCTTCCTCACCAATTTTGCTTTATTTTTGCTATTTTGGCTACTATCCTCTGTTTTCATCATACCTCTAAAGTCTTATTTTTCTTAATACTCTTTAATAAACATCTTCTAATCAGGCCAGTCTTATCCCTGATCCAAGAGTAGAATATATTATTGTTGGCTTCGTGGAAAAGTCACAACCTTGGCTGCTTTTTTTTAGTTTCATTTCATATCCCACATACTCTTAGAATCATTCACTGATCCCCAGCCTCCTTCATCTTCTTCCTTTAAATTCATAGGGGCTAAATAGAGTATGTTGCACAAATTAAGAAGAAGTTGTAAACAATATTGAGTTTCTCACTGTTGCCATGTTGATGTAAGCCTCCGTGCAGGAGAATGCTTGTGGGTGAGGAACTGTGTATCCAGTATGAGGCTATCCCAATAGTGACTCTATGACATTACATTCTGATGGTAAAGGGAACTGTTTTTATGTCACCCAACACATTAGCTCTCCCTTCAAGGCCTATTAAATCTTAGGGGAAGCTGTGATGCACTCTGCATACAAAAGAGGTATCTCAGAGATAAGCAGAGGAAGAGGATTCAGGCTGAAGTAGAAAGAAGATAATATTTTGTTCAAAATGCTAAGCACTTAAAAATTGCTATGGATGAGAAATTAGACCCCAATCTCTAAGGAGAGTGATAAAAGAAAAAACTGAGGAACATTTAGACTATAAATGATACCTCAGATCCTGAGAGGACAAAGGGGCAAAAGGTTATTGAACAGAACAATTTCTTCAACTACCGTATCCATGATGTGTAACAGAGCCATTTCAACAATTGCTTGTCTCTGATTCCCAGATTTAACTGTTACGTGCCACCTCTTTTGCAGGTATGGAACCCTTATATTTCTAAGCCATTATCTCCCATCTTGAGTTATCCTACCCACATTTCAGCAACAATAGCCGGCACTTGCCATTTATTGACCACTGTTTGTATGTTGCACTCTGTGAGAAGAACTGTGCATGAATTATTTCATGTAACCCCAACTCACATGCTAAACTTTAGAGGGGTTTAGCCTACAGAGGTTCAGGAGCTTGTTCATGTTCCCTCCCATCTATCTAACGGAAGAGTAAGAACTAAACTACAATCTGTCTGGCTTAGCCATACAAAGCAGGTATTTTTCTTTTCATCTGATAGCTGAATAGCTGAGATTGAACTGTAAGCTCCTTCAAAGCAGAGATCTTTTCATAGCTTCCCTTTCCCCACAGTGGCGTGTATCTGTAGCCAATAAACACATAATGATGGAAGTAATATATTCCTCTCACTCTAAATTATACAAAGAACCACAGATTTTAGAGAGGTATAACCTTTCTTTCTATTTTCTACAGTTAAATGCTGCTTAATGAGAGTTCCATCTTACTGATAAAAAGATTTTTAGAATATTATAGAGCTGCCATATGAAAATCATTAGGATAAAAAAACTAAAAAGAGATCAGAAGCTAGAGATTGCATGTACATTTTAGATTCTCTATTGTGACTACATTGTTTCTGCTGTATTTCTGAGAGTATATCATTGCTATTTTTTAGGACACAGCAGGCCAGGAAAGATACAGGACCATCACCACAGCTTATTATCGTGGGGCCATGGGTTTCATCTTAATGTATGACATCACCAATGAAGAATCCTTCAATGCAGTACAAGATTGGTAAGTCATAGCAAATACTACCATTACCAGTGATGACAGCTTTTTATTCAACCCTCTTCCTAACAGCAGTGACCATACTGCAATGTCCCATTTGTGTGTATCAGGCACTACAATCCCACTTGTGCTTTATAAGCCAAAGAAATGGTGGTTATGCTCAGTACCATTGTCAAGGGATTGATAAGAAGTCATTTTGGTGATTTTTTTTTTCCATTTTGTTCATTTTGGTGATTTGCATTCTATCACCTGGATTTCATAGAGTGAAGTGTATTGCTTTTTTTACTTTTAAAAATATAAATAATGGTTTGGAAATTTACTGGACTAAAATAGGGATCTAGAAACTGAGGCCTAGGAGCTAAGCCTGGTCCACCACTTGTTCTATAAATAAAGTTTTATTGAAACACAGCCAGGCTTATTTGTTTATTGTCTGTGCTGCTTTCACACTACAATACCAGAATTAAGTTGCTGCAACAGAAACCATATGGCCTATGAAGCCTAAAACATTTTGCATCTGGCCATTTAGTGGAAAAGTTTGCTGACTCCTTGTTTAGAAGATTTGTTGAATAGGTTATTCAAGCTGAAAAGTTTCAAAGGACTGGAGTGAAGGACAAGACAAAGTTTAAACCCTTTCTGACTCATAGACATATCAAACCATGTGAAAATAACTGTTTGTAATGAGTGTGATATATAGCAAATGCTTTCTGTTGTGACTGTGTCCTCCTCATCTGTCCCACCAGCACATTGGGAAGAGAAAGAAGAGCCAGTAGAATGATCATGAACTCCAGTAGATGCAAAGGGCTATTTTTCTGTAGAAAGAGCCAGAATATAGCTCAGGCTTTGTGTGGTATTAGGAGGAAAATGGAGCTCCCACTGGTGGTGACCAGGACTGACTGAGAGCATACCACATTTTGATTCTAAATAGTCACCATGATGATCTTATTTAAGGAAGCACTGGACTGACCATATTCTGGGAAAACAAATAGCATTCATCTTTTTTTTCTGTTTTCTATGATAATATTATCCACAATGAGTTTTTACATGCATATCATCAGCTCAGAGATGGTCAGATATAATTAAAAATATGAATTTGTGTTAGGCTTTTCTTTTAAATGCTTATATTCATCTGAGAAGACACCTACATCTTTCTTTTTTTTTCTTTATTCATTTATTCATATGTGCATATATTGTTTGGGCCATTTCTCTCCCCTGTCCCCCGCCCCCCTTCTCTCCCTCACTCCCCTTGCTTCCAGGCAGACTCTGTTCTGCCCTTTTCTCCATTTTGTTGAAGAATAGACATAAGCAA